CCGGGAGAGAATATATACACAATAACACATACATGTATAGTATATAGGATAAGATGGCATCTAAGAGGTGGCATATGACTCTTTTTTCACGAACATATTGTTGACAACCAAAATTATCCATTTTATAAAGTTGTCAAAATATGAAATGGACTTCACCATTGCATTCCTCTCATCGAGATGGTCAAAAAGCACATATGTAACGTCTAATTCGGAGTCCGAGTGAAGAGTTATGCCCCCGGAAAGATGCTATATTGCCGGAAGTTCCATCGTGAAGACATGTTGTTTGGACTTTTTAGTGGAGCTAGCTAGCGTTACTCATCCATTGCCAAGCATATAAGACTACGTTGTGGCTATGTTGTGGCGGTGGTATTGCCCTCGGCCCTCCGCCCTTGACCGTCCCTGTTGCTAGCGGGAGGCGGGTCGGTACCTTAGCATCTCTAGAAGTTTGGAATACTTTACTTGCTAAACTAATAGATCTAGCAAGTTAATAGAATAAATAGGAACCTTAAATTTTATTCTTGTGCAACAGCATGTTATAATAGCTTCCTAAATGATTATGCATTGGGAATCCCCGAGATATTTCTAACCAACAAAACTTTCTCATTTGGAACCCTTTATTTTTTTTAATTTACTCCAATCTGCCGAAACGTCGAGCAGATATAGAGTTCCTTTAGATCGCGGAAACTTACGAGTTGAAGAGAATATTTGGCATCTTTTTATTTTTATTAAAGAGATTTTTTACTAAATTATTGGAGGATATTTTTTTTTATATAAAAATCTATACCTGATAATAAAGAGACAAAATTTCAACCTATTTTTTCGTCCATCCATTTTTTTTTTGTCCGTCCCTCTAAGTACCAGACAATAAAAAGTTCCTTTCGTCCGAAATATATAATCCGTGTTTATACGAGTTAGAATAGCTCGCGTCTAGATAGGAATCATAATCTAAATAGATCTCTTTGATGCAGAGTAATTTGAATATGAATCCTAATCCAAATAGAGTCTATTTATTAGTATATTCCAATATAAGTCCAGATCCTTTTCTGGCTATTTATTTGTCCGTCCATATAGAGCCTTTCCTTTTCTCTCTGTCCGAGCTCTATCGTTCTTTCTTTTCTTTCTGTTTCCTTTTTGCGTTTTCCTTTTTTAGTTCCTTTCTATTTCTTTTTTGTGTTTTCCTTTTTTTTAGCGTCGACCATTTTTTCTGAGCATCTTTTTTGTTTCTTCCTGTGTTTAGCTATCATGGATTCATGGTAATCTATGGTAACCGAAATATGACATCCAAACTTGTAATAAAATAAAATATTTACCATATCTAATATATCACACATGCATCAATTAGATTGAAAGAGATTTTTATATCTAATAAATTTTTTCTTATCCATCAATTAAAAATTAAATAAATAAATATATTAACTATTACCTCCTAAGAAGTAATATATAAATTCTAACCATCCGATCTCGTCAGCTCATAATTGTTTGAGAATAGGATAACAAAGCTGGTTCATAGTTATTTTGGAGTACCACGGTAAAACCAAATATGTATTCGATTCCGTTGCACGTATAGACACGTTTGCTAGCCTTATCTTTTATAATAATAAACCACGAAAAGGTTCTTAGTTCCATCTTATATTTATTTAATTATTTTATTGTTTTCTTTTTTTTCTTATAATATTATAAATCAGAGTCCGTATGTTCCACGTCTCTAGGTTTATTGGATCCGAAACCACGCTTGTCCCAGGAAAACCACGATGTAACTTCCATCGTCGTCCTCTTTTTCGTCCGTACAGTATCACCCTACGTGCAAAATCAATCAGCCTTTTCTCTCCTGTCGAAACCGAACTCCAACTCCTGGCATGGCTTCAAAGCTGCTCTTCGTCGCTCATACGGCCTTCGAAACCAGGACGTGGCCTGGGGGAGGCAAGCGTGCAGCCGGCAGGGAGGAGGAGAGGATTCGTAGTGCCGTTGCTTGCTTTGCTAGGCTACTCGCTGGTAAAGGATACATGAAAAGCAAGGAGACGCGAGCATCGATAAATCTCTAAGCGTCTCATTTTAATAAGAGTTACATGTACAGTAGTAAGCATCAGGCAAGGTCACGGTATGAATTGAAATATATGACGTAGTTACTGAATAAATCCGTGAGCCACAAGTCATCTACGTAACTATATAATAAACCCGTTGTAACGCACGGACATATTTACTAAAAATAAAAGGTCGTTTTCTAAAACTCCTGGAGCGCGATCTGTGAGCGCCAATCTGCCCATCGCCTAGGACGTTGTATGTCACACCGAAACAAACGAGCATGCAGTCGCTGGTCGGCCGGCCGGTGCCGCGACTCGCAGACTTTTAGATGGTCTTTCTCGGTGTGCGACTTAGAAGCAAGCAGCAGAGTCTCTGGCGGATGATGGTTTCAGTCAGCTTCCCTCGAGGCAAAGCGCACAAAGAAGAGGGTGGTCTGCACCACTGTCACTGCTTAGTAAATGTCACAAATGCTGACCGGCAAAGCACAGGTTTTGACCTGCATGGCTATATGCGTTTTCCACCTCCAATCTGGTCTCACATAAAATCTATTTCAGCTGCATTTGTTGCCGCTACTTAATTTCCAGTCAATCCTGGGATCTCGCCGCTGCCGCCGATTAGTTTTTTTTTTTTGAATCCGCTGCCGCCGATAGTTTATTCCTGCCTGTTTGAAACCGAGGCATGGTCGTGGACCATGTGCTTACCAAACTGACAATTTTTCTTGGCACATGTAGAAAACTTTGACCTTATTACCAACATATTCTCCGTCACACTAAAAAATTAACAGGAAGAATAGTGAGGCACCAAAGGCGGCTTTCTCGTTGTGAAACTTGCTCACTAATACAGCAGGGATTTTAGGGGCAGCCGGTGACCCTAGGGACAGGTTTTGCCGGCCGCCCCTAACGAAGGGTGGCTACAAATGCCAGATTGTATGGGTGATTTACAAATTGGTTGTTTAGGGGTAGTTAAATATTTGTAGCGTATTTTTTTCGTGTAAAATCGCGCGCTACGCGGCTGTTGGAGTTCGAACCCGTGACCTCGTGTGTTCCTCTCTCTAACCACTTATATTTTGGTTCCCCACATAGAGCATAAATTGATTGTTTGAGGCTATAAACGAATTTAAATGAAAAAGTTGTCACCTATAAAGTTTTATAATTTTTCAAGATCTACAATTTTTATTTTGGTAGTTTCTCCTTTCGAGATCGTTTACAAAATTTGAATTTCAAATTTGAGAAATTTAAAGTAGTTTTCTATGATAAGATGATTTCAAATGAAATAGTTGTCGACTACAAAGTTTCATAACTTTTCGAGATCTACAACTTTTGTTTTAGCTGTTTGTCCATCCGAAGTCGTTTAAAAAATTCAAATTTCAAAATTTTGGAAATTCAAGCGTAGTTTTCCTTAACAATATGATTTCAAATCAAAAAGTTGTCAATTATAAAGTTTCATAACTTTTTGGGATCTACAACTTTCATTTTGGTAGTTTCTCCATCTAAGGTCGTTTATAAAATTTGAATTTCAAATTTTAGTAATTCAAACGAAGTTTTCCTTGACAAGATGATTTCAAATCAAAAAGTTGTCAACTACGAAGTTTCGTAACTTTCCGAGATCTACAATTTTTATTTTAGTTATTTATTCATCCGACATAGTGATAATAACATTGCTACCACTTTATCGGACAAAGAAATAACCAAAATAAAAGTTGTAGATTTTAATGAGTTCTACAACTTTTATGTTTATAACTTTTTTAGCTGAAATCGTTTAGTATTCCAAAATAACATTTGAAGTTGCTATTTTTTGAAATTCAAAATTCAAATAGATAAAACACAGTCACATAAAAAGATAGATAAAATAATAGATGTAAGAACACAATAAATTGATAGAGCATGATTTTAAAAATTTTAGGAAAAAAATCATCAAATTTGAAGTTAGTATGAGGAAGAAAGACTAGTTATAAGTTTTAGCCACAGATTAAAAAGAGAAATTAGAGTTATTCAATAATTTCAAAATTGAATTTTAAACAGTATTTTGAAGTAGTAAATGACTTTCAAATGAAAAAGTTATAAACAACAAAGTTCCATAACTTTTCGAGATCTACAATTTTTATTTTGGTCATTTCTTCATCCGAGGTCATTTGAAAAAATTCAAATTTTAGTGCTTAATTTTTATTATCTGGCGTCTATTTGTAGAGACGGTTTAATCTACAAATCCGATTTGTAGGGACCGCTGGATATAGAGCCGCCCCTACAAATCGGGCCATTTATAGGGGCGGCTCATAACACCAGCACCCCTACAAATGGATTTGTAGAGGCGGCTCATTTGACCAGTATTTGTAGTAGGAGCGGCTCATTTAACCACTATTTGTAGAGGCGGCTCAATATAAAGCCACCCCTATAAAAAAAAAGGCGTTGCTACAATCATTTTTGTAGTAATGGCGACCTTTTGGTACAGCTCAGTTTCATTGGTGAAAGAGTTTTATTTGGCTTCAGTACGTTCCAAAATAGAACAGATTCAGCAGTAAAAGAAAGCGTGGAACTATTATAGAAATTGCTATATCTGCCAATATAGATGGCCTGTATCTGTTAGATTTTTTATTCATTAGATGGAAAACCAAAGGTGTGGATCTTTGCAGTCTTACACCTTCCCTTCCTCCTTTCTCCCTCTCGGCGTCCTGCCCTTGAAGATACCGGCGTCCACCACAGCGAGTTCATTGGAGCCGCTCCTTCCAACACCGCAAATTTGTTAGAGCCGCTCCCTCCATCGCTCTCTGTAGCACTCCACTTATGCCGCCGCTGTCGCCGATATATATCAATTTCATAATTATTATTTATATATGAGAGAATTAACACATGTTTAGACTTTTAGAGCACCTCATCAAGCAGAACACTATATAAACTGCCTAGCGCTAGCAATCGAGATCGAACCAGAATTAGCCAGCCAACAGCGTATAGATACGGGACAGAGATACGTGCATGGACGCGATGGCACTCGTGGAGGAGAGCAGCCAGGACTTGCTCCAAGCTTACGTCGAGCTCTGGCACCAGTCCCTGTGCTACACCAAATCGATGGCGCTCGCCGTGGCGCTGGACCTCCGCATCCCCGACGCCATCCACCACCACGGCGGCAGCGCCACCCTCCCCCAGATCCTCGCTGAGACTGCGCTCCACCCAAATAAGCTTCGCGCCCTACGCAGCCTCATGCGCGCGCTCACCGTCTTCGGCACCTTCAGCGTCCAGCAACCACCAACCAGCGGTGATGATCCAACCGTCGACGCGTCGGGCGAAGCTGTCTACAGGCTGACGGCAGCCTCCCGCTTCCTCGTCAGCGACGAGGTGAGCTCGGAGACCTTGGCTTCCTTCCTGAGCCTGGCGCTCCACCCTATCGCTGTCGCCCCGCACACCCTGGGCATGTGCGCGTGGTTCCGGCAGGAGCAGAACGAGCCGTCCCCTTATGCCCTGGCGTTCCGCCAGACAACCCCGACGATGTATGAACACGCTGACGACGTAAACGCCTTACTGCACAAAGGCATGGTCCAGGACAGCCGCTTCCTGATGCCAATCGTGCTCAGGGAGTGCGGCGAGGTGTTTCATGGGATCCACTCGTTGGTCGACGTCGGCGGTGGGCATGGTGGCGCCACCGCCATCATCGCCGCTGCCTTCCCGCACCTCAAGTGCAGCGTGCTTGACCTCCCGCACGTTGTCGCTGGTGCTCCATCTGATGGCAACGTGCAGTTTGTCGCAGGCAATATGTTTGAGAGTATTCCACCTGCAACCGCTGTTTTCCTCAAGGTACATCCGTCACTGCTGACTGCTCCCTCCATTTTTCATTGTATTTGCATTTTGAGATCCATGTCAAACTTCAAATTTGACTCCTTTTTCTTGTCTTGCATGAGATGCTCACTCCATCACCTTAAGTAAAACTATCTTAAATTTGACTGACTTTATAGAAAAGAGTAATAACATATGTGACATCAAACACTTATATATTGAAAATATATGTCATGATGTATTAGTGATACTAATTTGGTATCATAAATACTTAATGCTATTTTTAAATAAATTTGATTAAGCTTAAAATAGTTTGACTTAAGACAACTAAGTTAATTTAGGTTGTGTTTCATAGGGATCTAGATTTTTTTTAGAAATGTTTCAGATCTAGATTATCTCATAAAACGTTTTGGGTAATGATTCAGAATGACTTTACAAAACCGTTTGGTTATGAGCTTGGATCCTTATTCCCACAAGATTCTTTTTACATAAAAAATCATATAAATGAAAATAAGCTTCAAAAAAATTCCAAACTTTGTGTGGACAACGAACAACTTAAATACAATCCATTATAATTTGTTGCACTAAAAATGACAATTCAAGAAAAATATAGTCGCTAGTGTATAGCCAGGGGTGGAGCTAGAGAAAATTTGAGAAGGCGCGCTTACCTTGTAAGTGCATACATTTTTATAGGGATGCATATATGGTAAAAATTTGATCATAATCATTGCTTTTTCATTTTTCGATGGGTGCGCCTACACTCCTTACCTAGTGCATAGATCCGCCTCTATGTGTAGCAAGCACCAAAATGGAATCCTTCGAAACTAGTGTCTAGGACCGTTTCACATGTGTAATGCAAAATAGAAGAATCGTTTCAACTGTTTATGAAACGAAAGGCTACGTAATATTTGTGTTTGGCAGTGATTCTAACGTTTTAGCATAGAATCGGAGTCATTCTAGCATTGCCAAACAAACTCTTAATTTGGGACGAATGGAGTAGAAGTAAAGGGCTCTGACATCATAAATGTGCTATTATCTTTGAATCCAAACACCAAAGACTCTTTTCTTCATTACCTATCGATTAATTTGATGATTACCTATGCCAGACAACTTTACATGACTGGAGTGACGATGAGTGTGTCAAGATATTGAAGAAATGCAAGCAAGCCATATCTCCACGGGATGCAGGAGGGAAGGTAATAATCCTGGACATGGTAGTTGGATATGGGGAGCCAAACATAAAGCATCTAGAGACACAAGTTATGTTTGATTTGTATATTATGTCGGTTGATGGAGCTGAGCGCGACGAGCAAGAGTGGAAGAAGATTTTCAATGAAGCTGGATTCAAAGACTACAAAATCCTGCCCGTTGTTGGCGCTCCTCTATCGGTCATCGAGGTCTACCCATGACTGCTTGGTGAACAAAGGCCTCCATAATAATAAATTGAAGATGCACCGTGAAGGTGCTGACAGTTTTATGAACTGTTCTTTTTACTATACACTTGAGTGTAACCTGTTACCCCCTTACCCAATGTTGTTGTTGTGATGTATGGGTTTAGCGGTGGCCCATGTAATATGTACACCTCACTTGTGCCGTCAATGGAGTCCAGTTTGTGTTATCTCCGGGTGTCTCTTCTTTTTTATGCATAAATCGATCTCGTTGCTCTCTTGGAACGTCCACGGTCTCAGCCAGGACGATAAATGTGATGATGTCCTCTCCGAGCTCATAAGCGTCGCGCCCACCATAGCCGGTCTCCAGGAAACCAAGCTCTCCTCCCTTTCCGCTGTGAAAGCTCGCTCGTTCCTCCCTGTGCGCCTCTCTGAACACATCTGCCGCGATGCAGGTGGGATTGTTCTCGCCTGGGACTCTTCCGCCCTTGCTCTAATCAGCTCTTCGCAGAGCCCCTATTCCGTCTCTGCTACGCTGTCTTTTTGTGCAGACAGGAGCACCTTCACCTGCACTTGCATCTACGCCCCCACTGCACACGCAGACAAACAGGCTTTCCTAGCCGACCTGGAGCAACTCGCCCCACCTGACAACCAGCCCTAGATGGTCTTTGGCGACTTCAGCCTCACGCAATTCCCCGAGGAGAAGAACAACAGCGCCTTCCACTCCACCGAGGCCACTCGGTTGAACAATACAATTCATAATCTCGCTTTGGTCGAAATTCCGCTCCTTGGCCACCAATTCATGTGGTCCAATCGCCGGGATTCCCCAACTCTGGTTCGGCTAGGCCGGGTCTTCATCAACGATTGTTGGGACTCCTTGTTCCCCAACACAACACCTCTGTCTCGGCCCACACCTGTATCGTCTCTGACCATGCCCCCCTCCTTGCGGCTATCTCCACCAAGCTGCCCAGATCTCCTTGCTTCCGCTACGAGAAGTACTGGACCAACCAGCCTGGTTTCGCAGACCTTGTCTCGGTCGCCTAGACCGGCCTTGCCTCCGGCGCGGCAAACCGTTCACTCTATTCCCGCATCAAGGTCTGCCACCGCGAGTGCAGACACTGGGTGAAGCGGCTCAAATCTCCCGGGCAGCGGGAAAATGACCTCCGAGCCCCCATCGACTCCTTTGACCTCCTCAAAGAGTGCCAGCTCCTCCACCTGCTCGAGCGTAGCCTCCATGATGCTGCTGCCTCAACATTCCAAAATGTTCTCCGAGACAAGCTCACCTATTGGCGCCAACGCTTTCAGCCTAAAACTTGCCTTCGAGTGGGATGAAACTCTCATTTTTTCCACGCATCTACTTCCGGCAGGAGACGAAGGAACCCCATCCAGAAGCTTCAGGATGGCAACTCTCTCTGCTCTTCCCATGCTTCCAAGGCTATTATCCTCCACAACTTGTACTCAAACCTCCTTGGCCTCGCTATGCCAACTCACTGGGACTTCTCCCTTTCTAACCTTTACCCATCCTTTGCTGTCAACGATCAAGCCCTTACTGAGCCTTTCTCCCTTAACGATGCCACCGCAGCCCTCTTCGCTATGGACATAAGTTCTAGCCCCGGGTCGGACGACTTTGGTCCAGCCTCCTACCGTTCCTACTGGAGCCACACAAAACATGATGTCCTGCCTTCCTGAACTCCTTCCACGGGGCTCGGCCGACCTGGATGGCCCCAACCGCGCCCACCTTGTCCTCCTCCCCAAGAAAGACGGAGCAAATTCGACAGACGCCTTCAGGCCAATCTCCCTCCAAAACTGTCCGATGAAGCTAGTTACTAAAATCCTTGCAAATTGGCTCAGGCCCTTCATCCCCGCTCTGATAGACCCGGATCAGACCGGCTTTGTCCACGGGAGGAACATTGCGGAAAATTTCATCTATGCCGCCGACCTCCTAAGATGTTGCCATTGCCACAAGAGACGCAAGCCTACCGCCGTCCTCAAACTTGATTTCAAAAAGGCTTTTCACTCGGTCTCTTGGGACAGCCTCGATCGTATCATGCGTGCTTGTGGCTTCGGCGACTTGTGGTGCTACTGGATTTCCTGCACCCTTTGCACAGGCAAGACATCCATCCTCTTGAACGGCGTCCCGAGTCGCTGGTTTCAGTGCCATCGTGGACTCTGGCAAGGCAACCCCATCTCCCCCTACCTCTTCATCAGCGTTGCAGACGTCTTGCAACGCCTGCTGCAGAAGGCTGCCACCGATGGTCTGGTCTGCCACCCCATCATCCCTCCCTCCCCTGTCCGGTCCTCCAATATGCGGACGACAAGCTCATCCTGATAAAAGGCAACATCGATGGGGTCACAAACCTGAAGAACGTCCTTGACAGCTTCTCACCCGCCACCGGTCTGCACATTAATTTCCATAAATCCTTCATCCCAATGCATATCGATGGGGATGCTGCTGGACTGATGGCCAACCAACTAGGCTGTGCGGTCTCTTCCTTCCCCTAGCCTTATCTCGGGCTCCCCTTGTCGCCGCACAAACTCAGGGTCTGTGACTATCAACCTCTTATCTCATCTTTCGATCGTTGCCTTGCCGGATGGAAGGCCAAGCTTCTTAGCTCGAGCGGCCGTGTTGTCCTTGTGAACGCTGTCCTTAGCAGCCTCCCTATCCACTACATGCTAGCAATGCTGCTCCCTAAATCTGTTCGAGAAACAATCGATAGCAGGCGCCGCACGTTCCTCTGGACAGGCGGCGATAAATGCAATGGCTCACAAGATGGGTAAGGGATGGATGCCATCTTGGGTAAGGAAGAGTAGTCTAGCCCTTCCTGATTCAGTGACCATCGGTGCCAATATTCTACTGTCAGACATGTACCGGCAGTTCTCATTTGCAAAGATAAAGGCTGCGACAAACAACTTTCATGAGTCACTCTGTGTTGGTGAGGGTGGATCTGGTACAGTTTACCGTGGGCAGATTAATGGACGAAAAAACAAAAAGCACCAAACGGGAGTTACTGAATTTTATAGTGAGATAGAGATGATGTCAAAGCACTGACACCGTCGTCTTGTGCCACTGATCGGTTACTGCATTGAAGATGATGAGATGATACTAGTCTACGAGTACATGACTCGTGGAAGTCCGCATGACCACCTCCATGGGACGCAGAAGCCGTCCCTAACCTGGAAGCAGCGTATAGAGATCTGCATTGGTGCAGCTCGTGGTCTGCGCTACCTCATGAACAACAGATTATCCATCGTAACCTGAAGGCGAAAAAGATCCTGGATGAGGAATGGGTTGCCAAGATTACAGATCTTTCTCTTTCCAGGGATGGGACATTAGTCGAGACAAGTGTGGTTGGAGCTATGGGTTACGTCGATCCTGAGTTCATGATTACCGCTCGGCTTACTGAGAAATCAGATGTCTATTCATTTGGTGTTGTGTTATTGGAGATCCTCTCTGCTCAGCTTCCTTATGGTTTCAGTAGTCGAGAAGAACAAGAACAGAACATGTTGTCTCTTAACAAGTTAGCCAAAACTGCTTTCAAATGTGTTGCTCGTGAAGGCATTGATCGTCTGTCGATGGGAGATGTGGTTTCAGACCTGGAGCATGCCCTTCAGTTGCAGGAGAGTGCAGATATCGTGCAGATGCTGTTAGGATGATCTCCACCAGTTGTCCAATGGCTAATTGGGGCCTTTATCCGTGTCGGGCGCTCAGCCGGTTCTATGTGGCTGATGGCTCCCGTCGCGCAGCACTATTAAAAGTACGGTGGGGGCTAGGGCACAGGCCACGTGGTTTGCCGCAGCCATCAGCGCCCCACCAAAGTTCCTAACCTAGACCGATCGAGAAGGGTGCTATAAGCGACGGAAAGCACCGCCATCTCTGCACCATGCCCGACATCCACACCGCCCCGGACGTCACTGCCTCCCTTTTGCCGACACCCTCCGTCACCGACACCGCCATGGACGACTCCTCATCCTTCAAGCCCGATGGTCAGGCTTCTACATCTCTCTCTCCCTCTCTCGAGTACACTACTAGTTGTTTTATCCCGAAATAGCAATGAATCAACCCGTAGATCTACACCTAGATGATCCTAGTAATTAACAATGGTATCGGAGCGACGATCTAGTGTGTAGATCGTGTCTAGGGTAGTAACATTTAGAAGGAGATGACTAGATCCGATTCGGATCGAAACTGTGGGTTGCGAACCCTAACCCTAGAAGGGGAAGAAGAACAACAGAAGGGGTCTCGATTCAATTCGAGAAGGATACGATTCGGATCGGCCACGAACCCTAACCCTAACTTGCGAAGATCCAGTCGGGGAAGATGAACAGAGGCAGAGTGTTCGACTCGAACACTAACCCTAACCCTAACCCTAGAATGCAAATGACGAAAAGGGGAGGAACCTACCGTGGCCCCACCGCGCCTGGGATGGAAGAATGACTGCACCGCTGCTTTGCTGGCGTGTGGGAAGACCGGCCGAGCCGTGGGCTCGCCGGCGCTCCAACGCTCCGCGTGGGGGCGTTGTCGCAAGACCGCTCAACAACGGCGCACTCGGCCACGGGCAAACACGCGCGCTGGCGAGGGGGCCTACAGTGGCGTCGTACCTCTCCTCCAGCCATGGACGGCAGCGACTGTTGTTCCTTGTTCTCACTTGGAGCGTCGCGGCTGAGAGAGAAGAGGGAAAGGGGAAGAGAAAGACGAAGTGGAGGGGAGCCTACCGGACTTGGTCCGGTGGCGCTCTTCCTCACTGGCATCGGACGGCCACCATGACCGCCATCGACGCGAGCTGAGCGAGAGAGAAGGGGAACGAAGGAAAGAGAACCTAGGGTTCTGGGGGAGGCGGCCGAGCGCCGTTTTGTTCTGCCGAAACAGCCGGATGACCGTCCATCTGGATGAACGGCTATGAGTGCACGGGCTGCTTTTGGCCCAGGCGGACAGGAGGATTGCCGGCCCAGGCCCAGGTTGTGGCCTGGGCGTGGGAACGCGGCGCGCGCGTGCGGTTGTGCCGCTGGACCGCGTTGCGGAG